TGTGAAAACTCCTGACCAGACCTGCTCCAGCTGAGCTGCTGAAGAGCTCGGCAAAACTCCCGGCTTCTCCTCCGGCCGGAATCATGCTGGAGCGCTTCATCCAGGGCCCGCAGCGCCTAACGAGCACTTTCCTCCTTGGCCAGCAGATGGCCCATTTTTTATCACAGGGCGTACAATCGCCAAATTTTTTCAGGTTTGTCATTGCCAGGAATGGTTGAGCAGGCTTAACGCTCAGCGTTTCTTCGGGGTGAGTAACACTGTAGCTGAAAACACCCCATCTGTGCCATCTTTTTTAAATATTAAGCTCTAGCAATAGAGCTTCGACACTTACCAGTTAGTTACTATAAGTAAAGTGTATAAATTACACTCTAAATGTAATTTCATGAATATGAAAAACAAGGGCTGCTCCCGCACCTGAAAAATTGCATTCTTACTGATACAGAAAATCGGAACTAGGAGCCTGGGGTATGAAAATATGTCTGAATTAAACCTCTGTTTGCTCGTACTGCTGACATCCACAGCCACATAATGGCCATTCTGCAGCTGCCTGAATTTCATGTGCTCACTCCCTTGTTCATTCCATCTGTGACAATGGGACAAAACATATATTTTAACTGGCCATAAGAAAAATTCCTCAGCTGGATGGACTATTGGATTCTTGCCATAATTCAGACATGACCCTTTCATCACACTCAGCAGTTCCAATCGTCCTCTAGTGCTATGTTCACACAGCATAAGCCATGGGAGAGAGCTGTGTAAACACCTGACATCAGAATATGTGGAGCATTAATGATGAACACTGCTATTTGATGGGATGTAAGAACCCATTTCTTTCCTTGTTTTCTCAGGTCTCTCAGCCAGCAAGATAATTGCTCCCAATTTAGGAATAACAGCTCTGAGGATAAATGAGTCTAAGTGGCTACAGAATTAGAAATGACACTACTACATGGCCATTGTCATGTAGACAGACCTGTATCAAATCCAATGTACAAATTCCTCAAATATTCATTAAAAATAACAATGGGGATAGCTATTTTCAATTCTGTAACTAGCTACTCACCCACAACTCCTAATTCTGCTGTGTTTACAAGACCACATTAGTGTAATGCAGCTCCCACAGTTTTAATTATGCTTTATTTGCAAGTTCATTTGGGAAAATGTAATTAATAACACAATGTTTCCACTGCATTCCAAAATAAGAGAAAGGGTGTGCTAAGGAGGAAAGAGTGGAGGTTTTTCTAGTTGGGTAAAGCATCTCGCTACAATGAATACTCCTAATACTTCAGCTCCTTGAAGTGGTTTCAATCTGCTGCTCACTGAAAACCCAACCATAACCTTCAAAGGAGTAACTCCTACCACTACAGAGTAACAGGGATTAGAAACCTCATGGTGATTCTCTTCTACCATGACTACTGATAGTGCTGATCTGTGGGTTGAAGATTGGGCATTAAAATACTTAACTCAAACTGAACCATGGGAAATCAGAATTCCTTGCAGAATCCAGAGTCATGCTAAAGGAGTATATTTGTTTTAAAAACACAAAGACAAAATCTATTTATGAAAGGCCCTGTATGATTTTGGTGGGTGTCTCTCCACTTTACACTGGATGCACTTACAACAGGATCCAACGGAGCACTTGGCTTGAAACAAAAGAAATACTACAGTTTGAGTGAAAAACAAGGGAACAAATCTGACTAAGGCAGAGAATGAACAAGGATGTATTTTTAACTAAAATTTAGATTACTATAAGAAAAACAGTTAGGCTAGACAAGAATTGAGGATTATTGATTTCAAGTTAAGCTTATGAACAGAGTATCAACAGGAGCTATGTTTAAAGAAAGACTTTGACCTACATATCCAAAACACTACAGTTCAGTGCCTTGAAAAATCCACCAGACATATGTAAAGGAACAGTGTTTTATTTCTTATTCTAACCCTTAAGCATGTCAAAAGACATTAATTTCTTGCCATTTAATCCGATAGAAAAAAAAAGAATAATGCCATAAAACATTACAAAGAACTAAGTCTACTATAACTTAAGTTATAGTTAGAGTAAGTTAGAATAACTTCCTTTTATGTGCCAGTTATTCTACTAGCTGTGTACCGAATAAAAGAGTAGTAGTGCTCACAAAATTAATAAAAACAAAGGGGTATAATGGGACATAACTCACTCTCTGTAAAAGAAAAAAAAAAGTTTCAGAAGGAATCCAGAATTCAGACTGATCATTTAAGCAGTCTTGTGACTGCTAAACTAAAATCTCTGGTTTGTGTGCAGAAGCCCGATTTTAAATTTTGCTGAGAAGTTTGTGCTCCCATTAACCTTAAATAGCATTATGGGTGCTCAGCATTTCAAAAATCAGGCCTTGGAGCACTCAGCCAAAGCCTATTGTGTGGAAAGCTGATATTACTTGGAGTGGTTGAGATGGAAATTGAGCAGTGGAACACCTCAGAAAGGTAATTATGGGCAGCATTAGCCATCAAAGTAGCTTTTATATTTCATATATGTGTTTTGGAAATTGATACAAGTCCTGGTATTAACCACAGCAGCACTAGTGGCTTAACAGCTTTTTTTCCTGGCCCAAATACAGAGATTAGAGTGTTCTGGGCAATGTTTGCCATACTTCTTTTTTTCTTGATCACTCCCACAATATAAACCAAGTGGAAGAAGCAGACAAACCAAGCATAAACTACAAGATCACTTCTTTCTTTAGAATTCAGTACAAACGTGCGGACAGATTAGTAGGTTTACAAACAACTCCTCTGTCTTGTTCTACTTCATTAAGTTGCTTTTCTATCAGAAGGCAACCAAGATGCCTCTGAAACTTTGACTTAAACTGATAGATCTGTACTGACAGTTTGGCATAGGAACAGCAGCAATATAAATGTTATAATGTGAGTGCACTCCACTCAAGATATTTCTGTATCAGCACTACTGTAGCTCTGCTCCTTTTCACTGTAAATACATACTAGCCTTTATCAATCCATCAACTGGAAGCAATTAATATTCACACTATTTGGAAATTTATGAGAATAGCTTGTCATTTAGCAACATTGTGCTTCTGCCCACCCCTTTGCAAATGAAAAACTATTACGTTGATCTTAGACTGCAACACTAACTGTCCACTAAATATTTATATAGGCAACTAAATTTTTGTTTTGTTTAGCACTTATTCTACAAGGAGGTGTTTATTACACGTTACAGTCATGCTTGAATAATCACCTCATATCTCTGAAGAACACAAACTGGTTTGATTCAGAAGTCCAGTGATATCCTCTGAAATGCAACACCTAATGCTCTGTGGAAATCAGTTCTAACACAGTTATTCACTCAGCAAGGCACTATCAATTGTTCAGAGAAGGAGACTAAACCCCTTGCTGACACTGAACTAAGTCACCATCACTTGTACTGCCAGGGGATACCTCAGTCATGGATTAAAACTTGAACTTCACCTGCAGTAGCTTAGAGGACCCCCACAAACCTTAACAGGCTGTTGTCATCCCCCAGTGCACTGGGGAGCAAAGTAAATCAAAAGAATGGTTGTAAAGAACGCAGAAGAACTTTCCATAGCTTACAAGTTTGACAAAATTAGTCTGAATCAAAAAAAATGAGTCTGGCTAGTAAAAATACACTTGAACATCCAATTCCACATGACAAACTTTGGAAATGGAAACTTACGTATTCATGATTGATAGATCTCACCCAGTGCCATTCATGACTGGGAAATGTACAAGCTAAACTCTATACACTTAAAGAATAACAATTTCACACTGAGAGACGATAATACTAAAAAATAAAAATCTGAAGCCCTAACATTTACAGCATGAATTACTCAGTCTTACTACCAGGCTGCTATAGAAAAAAAATCACTCTGACCCAAACTACAAACATACTCCAGGAGAACAAACACTATTTGGTAAATGGTGATAAAGTGCAAAACAAGGAATTGTGAGAAAGGGTTGATCTATCCAAGCACATTCAATAACACAGCAAACAGATGGTTAAGCAATATCAACACAGGAGTATCAACATAACTAAGACAGCGTTATCGCTGCCTCCACAGTTTGTTTTATTCTCCTCAAGGCCCCACCAGGCAAACATGGCAGGCGTGCTGGGTTTGCTGTGCAGGGCATATGGGTTCAGCTGCCTCAGAAACAACCTAATGACTGGGAGAAGAAGCAGGTGAAGGAGAGCAAAAATATGTAACGTGATAGATGTAGAAACAGCAGCAGCTTTTGCATGAGTGTTTTGCAGATAATTCTGCAATTATATTGAAGTCTTAAACTGAAAAGCTAACCCCATTAGAGATCCTACAGAAAGCTTGTCTGATGTTGGTTCTCTAGTTAGTATGCTTGAGTATTTAATATTAATTTTTATTTATTTATTATACATTTCCACTCAAAAGACATCTACTTTGATAACAGAAGACAAAAGATCATTGATAAAAGGTTGATAACACATCAACATATCACAACAATCTTACCACATAAAACATAATTTCACTTGCGTTTTGAAAGGTTTCACAGCACTGCACAGATGAATGTAACAACTGAGACATTTTAATACATACAAACTGCATTCATCAGCTCAAGATTATGCTGAATTTTTTACCAACACTTTTTCTTCTCATTTCTCTCCCTACTGAGTTCTTTCATGGCTGTCTTTACTCAGGGTAATAACGTTAATGCCAAAGTAGTATCAAAAAGCAGCTACCTTGAAGCAGCAGTGAGTATTTTCTAAAGGAAAAAGTCACTCTTCTTCTCCCTCCTTTCTTTGCAGCATTTCCTCCTGAAAGCATGGGAGTGTGCTTGCTTGCTCATCACTCCTGCTACCCTAAACAACTGAGATAGCTTTGTTCTTCTGCACCAGCAGTTCTGCTCATGAACACTGACACTGAATTTCCTTTTTTAGACAGCAAGGACGCAGACTTTCTTCCTCTTCTCCCTCCCTCTGCCTCGCCTCCCCTCCCCCACCTACAGTCTTTGCTGTGCCCTCATCTTACCTTCAACAGCACAAGAAATCCATGCTGCAGTTTTTTTCTTCGTTAGCAGCTCTATGGCAACAGCAGTTCTGAGGCAGCAGTCCTTTACAGTTCTCACTTCATTCTCCTTCCTTCTGCATAAAGATACACAGCCTGTTAGCCCAGGAAATCAGTAAAGATAATTCTGATGTGATCTAAATTAGTAAATACAATTCCACAATTATTTCAGAAAAAAAAGTGTGCTCCTGGGGGTACAAAGTTGTATTCCCAGAAGAGATTAATATTAGCAAGGCAAATGAATATTAAAGGAAATCAGAGAATTCCTTTTGGGTAATTAACTGTAAAATCATCTTTGTGATAACTCAGCTTTCTTGGACAGAAAGATGAAAAAAGAGAATTCTGAGCTTAAGATATACACAGTATGACATCCAAATAAAGTCCTCTATGAATTTGTCATTGTTTGACTGAGTCTTTATTTGTCATTAGCACATGAATTAAATCAGTTCTTTGTTTGTTAAAATCCTACTGAAATAAAAGCAATAATGGCATACAAAATCTTGTAACCCATGTAAAAGCATATATTGGAATACATTTAGAAATGGTAACACAAACCTTAGAGAAAAAAAAAGCAATGAAAGAAAAACTAACAGTAATTAGGTAGTTACTGAGTACTAAAATACTAAAGTTCAAAGTCTGCTTTGAAATTAGGATTTTCCTGATTTCTTACTTTGTTACTTTTAAAATAATCAAAACAATGAGCTACAAATAAAAGCTGAATATGACAGAAAAACCCCAAGTACTTAAGACTCTGAAACAATTATTATCAGAAGCTCTTAAATTAAAGCACAAGATAAAAATATTTTGAACAGAGGCACAAACATTCTCTCTACTGCAAAAACTGACAGTAATTTACAATCTAATCACTTTTATCACTTTTATCACATGCACAAAATAAATGAATCAATATATTCCTGCAATTCAGCATGAACTCGCATTTCTCTCTCCTGCTGTGTAAAGAACAAAGGTTTCTGGCCACTGCCAATTGCTGTGACATGATGTGTTAAAGTGCATGTCCTTGACTGCCATGAGCAACACCACAGTTACACCTGGCTAAAGTAAAGGGATCACCTGCATCTTGTCTGTGCTTGCAGTCCATGTCCACACTTGCTGGAAAATGTGGAAAACAGAGGCAGGTGTTCCTGGGCAAAACCTGAGAGTAAAACATTGAATTTCTTACTAATCCAGCACCTCACCTGTTCATTTTTGTCTCATCTGGTGATATTCAGTTGGCATACAAAATAATATAGAATCATGTTCTGGGATGGGTTGAAGCACAAACAGCTGGGGCTAAGGACTGGCCCACAGAAGCTTCCTAGCACTAAACAGAAGCTCCAAAAACCAGAGCAGTTACATTTAGCAGCTCACTTGGCACTTCAGCTTCATGGGCACACAATTCAGACTCAGTCACAAGAAGAATATGCATCTCTAACACTGTTAAAGACAAAAGCCATGGAACAGTTATATTTTCCATTAAAAAAAAAATCTCAAAAGGATTAAGAAAACAAACAAATAATGTGATTAAACAAGTCACAATGTTTATCTTGATTAATTTCTTAAACTTTTTAAAAACTTTTTTACCACCCTGAGCTGGCTGCTTTGCAGGCTTGAAGCACAGCTCACAAAGCAATCAGTTCCAGCTTTAGTCAGTTTACAACTGAAGAGATTATTTAGAGAGATAATAATTTCCATCTTCCAAAGAGATGAAAGAAAGGCACAAAGTTGAAACTAGTCATCTATAGTGCCAGTATCAGTGACAGAAAAAAAAAACTTGGGGAATCTGAGCTATAGTTACCTGAAGAAATGAACAGTCTCAATTTCCTTACGAAAAGTAAAGCTCAGTAGGAAACTTTCAGTTTGTGGAGATTAAGATTTACCTGGAGGCCAACACTTCTTATCACACAGCTCGTTTTAGTAACGACCAAGTATTTAACTTTAATGTTAAATTTCACATGTTAAAACAAGCCCTATAAACTGAAAAATACTGTTGTGAAGGTTAAAATTATCTGATAGAGAAGAATTCAGTTAATATGCAACACTGGAAATAGACAGAAATAGCTTCTGTTAGGGAAAAATGAAATTATTTCTGTGATGTCTTACTGCTTAGGGATGTACACATTTGAAATATTCTGACAATAAATACAGAGTGTATTACAGCCTGTAATACACTCAAAGCAAAGCTCTTTGTGCAATGCTGTATCAGCTGATAACACCAGACATTTTGTTGTCACTAATTTGAGATAGGCTCTCATAACTCAAAGTGCTGCACCTACACTCTGGAAAGCACAGTGTGTTTGTTCTGACGTCCAAAAGTGTGATTGGGATGGGGACAGAGTCACATGGCTCATTGCTGTCACCAGTCAGGACACAGGGCATCTATCATGATACACTTATCTACAGCGTACAATAGAGATTAGTACTTTTTTTACCACAAATGGGTCCCGTGAATTTATCCCTGTAAAAGTCAAAGGCCTGCTTGGCCTTTTTGATGTTTTCATCTTGGGTTGGGTTCCCATGCACTACTTCCTCCTACGAAGCACATAACATTCAGTGTTTTTACCAGTAAGGAAAGGTACCCAAATTAATACAGATATAGGTCTGCCTGTAGTGGCTGTTCCAAAACTTGGCCAACTGAAATCAGCAATTAAAAAAACCCAAGCAATGTCAGTAGATTGCAAGTTTGCAAAATCATGGGAATAAATAATGTACAGAGATGGTTAATCAATAGCAGAATTAAAATGGTTTTCTTCAAAATAATGCACAGGCTTATATATGCCTTTCTTTCAGAACTGGAAAAAATGTTCTTTGCAGATTGTCTCACAGAAATATATGATGTGCAGTATTTCATGAGTTAAAAAATAAATGTAACCACAACTGTGTCAGGATATTATCATCTGCCACCTGGGTCATCTCTCTATAAAAATAAAGTTTTATTTACTTTTGTAATACAAGAAACAAACCCTACCCTGAAAACATCCTGCAACTTCTATCAAAGATTTCTAGGCCTCCTTCTATTACTAAACTCCACATTCTTCAAGGATTTGCCCACACATAACAAATAATAAGACCCTCATATTACAAAGACGAAAACTGAAGTGCAAAAAGAGCTCTCATTCCAAGAAAAGTCAATGGCAATTCTAATAGATATCATCTGCTCAATTTTAGTGCTAAAATTCCAGTCTGTGGTCACACTAGGAGTGCTTAACACAATAGAGGAACAGACCTAAGTTGATTTCATGTCCTGGGCTTGACTACAAACCTTGAAAACTTGGAAACAAAGAATCTAAGTGCTCAATCAAGAGGAACACTCAAGACAAAAAACTGTAATTATTGAGTTTTATAGCATGCAGAGGACTGGACGACTACAAAAATCATAGAAAGAAAAGCATATTTTTGTTTCAAATATTTGGGTTAAGATTTTATTGTGACAACATTCTTCTTATTACCAGAATCATTACTAAAATTACGAGACCACCATAAGTAATTCCACATGACAGTTTTCTCATATTACACTAATTTAAAGAATTAACAGTAATTTACATATTTCCACTAAGAAATTGAATGCTTACTTTCTAGAATTAACCCTAGTTTTTTATTAGAAGACCAACCAAATGCTAAGCAAAGTAAAAGAGAAATTTTTCACAAATTTAAAGTTCCGAATGGAACTATACCAGCTATAAAAATAAGCAGTAATTAACTTCCCTTAGTTCTTAAAATTTTTGACCCCCTGGGAGAGGGATGAGAAACCAAGGTTCCTCTGAGGTCCCAGAGCACTTCTGCTGCTTTCTTTTCAGCAGCAGTTTACAAGAACTGTCCCACTGGATAAAAGAAACACCATCTTTCTTAAAAATTCAGCCGGAACTTCATTATTCCAGAGTAAGAATTAAGTAACAAATAACTGCAAACCTCTGAAGGTGGAAGGGTCCCTGTAAGTCTGAATTTAAACTCCAAACTGTAAGAACAGATGAATTAATAGATGAATAACCTGAAAGATTAAATTCACACAACTTTGCTATTTATTAAAAAAAAATAATTTAAAAAACCTTACGTAAATTAGTCTTAAATAGTTTAACAAATTATTATAATCAAGAAAAAAAGATCCAACTGGCAATGGGAGAACTTAAGCTAAGAAACAAAATTCTGCACAACTGAAGCAGGAACACTCTTTGGAGACGTGTTCTCCAAGCAATTAGGAAGCACAAGCCACAAACCACTCCACATACATTTCAGACAAGTGAGTCAGCAGGCCAGCAAAAGGCCCCATCCACCCCACATCCTCTGCACGAGCCTGAATATCTTGAACAGACTGAGCATGTGGGACAATTAAATCAACCAAAGCAGTTTAAATCCCACTGGCTTTCCATAGTGCTTGGCACCTAAATAATTTAAGCATCTTTGAATACGTTCCTTATTGGCCTAGTGCATAACTATTCAGTGAGACAGAACTTTCACAGGGAGAGGAGATTCTGGATGAACTTTCAATTCATTCAACAGGGACATCGAGATTTCACAACACAACTCTGAGTACAGTTACAAAGATTAGAAATATCTGTCAAAACATAACAAAGTTGGAAAATCACTTTAAAAAAAGATGACAAAGCAAGCCTAACAACCCAATGTACTAAAGTCATCATAATGTGCATTTCAGATTACAATGAGGTACTACAGAATACAAAGCCAACATTCTCAATCATTAAAAACACTGTATCTTATAAATTCTTATTGTTCAGCTTTTTTAGACTGTAATTTCAATGGAGTGCACAAAAATGCTTCTTAGCATTCACGACACCCTGACTGCATTTAAACAACAAGCATGGGACTTCAGGAATTTGGACTTTCTTTGTCCCCTGGACATTTTCCAGAATCTTTCCTATCCGCTCCTACATTTGAGGAAGCACGCTTTTGTTTAGGCAGGATCCTTTGGGACTGATGAACTGAAAACATTACTTATTGCTAACAACACCCTAACAAATCATCTTGATCCTTAACATGACCTACTGTGAGCAAACTCTGTCTGTTTACCATCAACTTCCTTGCCCTGCCAGCCACGGCAATCAAATAATACACAGATTGAACTATGGCAGCAGACTGGCAAGTGCAGGAAAAGAACTCTGGGATTTTGCAGGTTTCCTGTGAAGTACCTGGCAGCTTCATGGCAAATTCAAATCATGCCATGAGATTATTAAAAGATTTCTGAGATTTCCTAATGCAAACTGTACCATCGCCTTTGCCAGAATATTGGTGAGCAGGGATTGCTCAACAGGAGCTCAATTTCAGAAGGTGTCAGCTCCTACTGCTTTCTTTAGATACGTCATTCCTTACTTCAATCTGCATGAATAATCACTGGAAACCCAGCTGCTAAACCAGCTAGTCCATCTGTTACCCCTGTTAATAAATGTGTTATTATGTTCACTCTCACTAAAGAGCTCATGATTCATTGGGATTGTCTTTTTCGGAAACATCTACAGAAGTATATAAGGTGTACATACATATGTGGCTGTGGAGCCTATCTTTAGCAGCACATACATATAATTTAGTGTCTTCTTGGTATCTTTTCTGCCTGATGATAACATGAACTTAGTCTTTGGGGAGCAAGTTTTCAGTTGAGGCTGCTCTAAAAAACTTAATCAGATTTAAAGCCAAAGGACCACATGAAATCCCAGTGTTGGTACAAAATTTTTGTCGGTGACAAAATCTGACCTTTTGGTTCCTCTCAGCTTGATGCTTCCTGTTCAGAACAAAATTATTCCAGGCAGAATGTGGCTAGCACTGGCCACAATAATTTTAAAAATTGTCCCACTTGATTGAAGATAATAATTTTAATTATTTTTTCTACCTTTTTTTGGGTTTTTTTTAACAAAATGAAATTTGGCCAAGCAGAGTAAAACAAGATTTGCAGCAAGCTAGAGCAATGAGAACAATTTCTCCTTAAAGAAAGCCAGAAAAGCCTTGTTACTGGAAAACTGTTGTCAAATCTGAATACACGGGTAATCTGAAATGACACTGATTTTTTTATCAGAAAAGATGAATACTTGTTTCTGAGATGCCATTTCGGGTCTGTGAAGAATGATGGCTTACCTTCATGAAATTCCCATATGTCTGGAAATATTTTCCTCTCAGATTTGCAAATCTACTAAAACTTAAATGCAGTACTTGAATAACAATATTCATCAAATCAATTTCAACAGCTTTCTTAATAAATATTCAGTAGTGTTATTTCTCCATTTACTTTTCCCCATTTACTTTCCCACCTTTAATGCAGTGGGAAATCCAACTGTGCTAGACCAAAACTGTGTTTGCATTCTTTCTTTAGTCCATCCTGTTTTTCAGCCAGAGGTTAGCAGTCCACACAAACTGGCACCATTCATTTAAAAGGCCTCTGGCTATTGTTGCATGTCTATCTGAACTGCAAATAGAAGAAATATCCTCAATATTTTCTACCCAGCAGGGGTGGACAGAAAGAACTTGAGAGCATTAGGAGGGCCTGACAGTGGAGCTGCGTTTATATAATTTTGCTGGGATAGAGGTAGGTTGTACTATTTCTACAGATATTGCCCCAGAAAACGCTATCATAGAAAGATTTAAGTTATATACAGTCTTTGAGAGGTTCCCTTTGTGGATATTCTAGATAGTTCTAGACAATTTACAGTATTCTAGACAAGGGTTGAGTTTTTCAAGCACTGTCTCCATTTCAACATATATAATCACTATGGAAACAGATTGCAGTGATACACATATATACAAAGTTGGCACAAAATTATTGCTTAAAATGGATATTATTTGTTTCCATAAAAAATACTGATGAATAGATTATTGTGAAACCTGAAAGAGCATTAAAATGATCGATATTTTTTCTACCATAGTAGGAAAACATTGGGCATAATCATGCAATCGCTTTGCACAGTAACAGTTCTCTTAGTGCTTTATTTGGGACTGCACTAACCTTTAAATCATTCTTGACAGGTTTTTCGTGGACACCGCTGTACTGAGACCTACACCAGATCACCGTGCTTTCGGCTGCACCCCGAGGACCACCTAACCTGTCTCCTACAAATACTCCTGCATCCCCTTCAGGAATGATCCACCCTTAGCGCCTCGGGACAGGTTTGTGGGATTCAGCCCTGGGCCCACCGGCGGGCACTGGGTGTGAGCCCGGGGCCAGGGCCCCCTCAGAGGCGCCTCCATCTGCCCCCTTCGCCTCAGGGCCTCTGCGGGAGTTACCAACGCTGCCCCGACTCTGGGAGCGCAGGGGGACAGCTCGGGGTGTGTTTCGCTTGTCAGGGAGGAGGAGGAGGAGGCTGGAGCCATTTCTGTGTGCGGATGGGGCGGATGCGCGGCCGCTGGCCCCCGCCCGAGGAAGCCTCTTTCTCTCTTCTGTCACCCCCCGACTCCGGGGCTTCAAAAACAACCAACACAGTGGGGAAAACGCGGCCACGAAAAGGTCGCTATGACGCCCCAGCCGCAGGGCCGCTCGCTATCCCCGCAGCCCGGCCAAGCCGGCGCCGCCATTGCGCCCTCCCGCCCCACGCTGCAGCAGGGACCGGACGGGAAACCCCGTGCACGCGGGGGGGAAGGGGAGGCAGAGGTAGGAAGGAGTGGGGCGCTGTGACGCACTCAATGGTGCAATATCCTTCCGCGATCTGACAAAAAAAAGTAGTTCTATGTTCCACGTAACCTCGTAGACCCCAGAGGTTCATACACAACCTTCGGATTAACTCAAAAAGTCGCGTGACGGGAATCTCTTGGGACAGAAGATTTAATCCAGAAGGATTCGTGCTTTTTTGCGTGTGGCATAAGGTATATATCCATGCGCAGAGCAGACCGCAACGAGTCCGGCAGCAGGGCGGGTATATAAGGCGGGCGCCGCGGAGGGCTTGCCTTTTCAGTTGAGGACAGAGCTGGTGATCGGAACATGTCAGGGGGCTCCGCGGATTATAGCAGGTATGGCGGGGGCCTGGGCTCTTTCCTCACTCGGGGGCTTCGTGGGGTACGCGGGGGCAGCCGGGGGGAGAGAAAATGTCAAAAGAGGTGCAGGGGTGGGAGCTGGAGCGCCCTGGGGAAGGCAGGGCGCTGTGGTCAATCAGCCCTGCGCTCTGGCCCCTCCCGTTCTAGACGTTTCGGTCCCTGCGCTCCCCTTGCTCGCGGTTCAGCAACGGTTTAGCTCTAGTTCTCGGGGCTCAGTATTCGTTACTGGCTTTTTTAGCGATCTAGTCAGCCCTGAAAATGACTTAATCAAAATTTATTCGTATACAGCTATATTGTAGTTTGAAATGTTGAAATGCTTTTCTGTGGTTTTCTTGGTTTTTTTTTTATATTCTGCCACGCGCCGTTGGTTCACCCCGGGTTTTTGGGCCGCGCCGAGGGCGAAACCATTATATTTTTTTGCGGGGGGAGGGGAAGGCCGAGGCCCCCCCCGGGCGATCACCCGGCGCCGTC